CATAATTAGAGACCTTCAAAACACTCATTTAGGCTTGTCCCGATCCGATATTTGGAAAAAATTTGTATCGGAAAATCAGAAAGAGCCAATCCAGACTCCAGATCCATTTTTAAAAAATGGTCTGATTAAAATAATCCATCTGAGTTATTGGACTATTTTCTATTCAGGGTTTTTGCCTTTTTAATACAGTTTTTAATACAGTTTACAATATTATTTGCACTCTTTATTGTTCACTGACATTTCCGTTTGTTATTTATAATTTAGTCTATTTTGTCTTTATCCCTGAATAAACATGTCAGTGTCTCTTTACCAACTAGTGTGTGTTATTCAAACTATCCCCTATTTCAGCTGGCTAGTTGTTATCAGAGCAGTAGCATTAGCATTAGCATCTGTAACCCACAGGTCTGTGTCCTAACCATTAAGTTGTTATCAGAGTAAATGCCTGTTCAACATGAGTCTGACAACTAAGTAAGTAGATAAATAACTTTAAACTTTAACACATGCCCTGATAGGCCGGGATCGGGACATCCCTAAACTCATATCTATCTATGGAGTGAGTGGCCTGTGTGGGGCTTGAACCCGTTACCATGGCGATAGTAGCACCAGGCTCTGACCAGCTGAGCTGCGTTACCCGAACCCGCCACAGGGTGGAGACAGTGAGTCGCCCACTGCCGTCTGGTTCAGACTGCAGGAAGCCAAGGATGGATATCCAACTCCACCCACATCCAAGTCGGCCATTTTGATCAGGTCACTAATAGGAAGATCCCAGGCAAGAAAATCCTAATTGCTTCATGGCAATATAGACATTCATTTAAAAATAGTGAAATGAATCTTGCAAACACTGAATTAAACTCTATCCATAATATTATGTTAAAATAGTGGATGTTAAATAGGTTTGTACAGTAAGTCCAAACAAGTTTAAACAAAAAATATTTATTTCTCACAATTATGAAGGCTGGAGGGTTAGGGTTAGGGTCAGGGATAGGTTTAGGGTTAGGTTTAGGGTTAGGGTCAGTGTTAGGGTTAGGGTCAGGTTTAGGGTCAAGTTCAGTGTTAGGTTTAGGGCCACGGTTAGGGTCAGGGTCAGGTTCAGGGTCAGGTTCAGGGTTAGGTTAGGGGTTAGGGGTCAGGGTCAGGGTTAGGGTTAGATTCAGGGTTAGGTGTTAGAGTTAGGATCAGGGTCAGGGTCAGGGTTAGGGTCAGGGTTATGACATCGTTTATCTTCCGATTTCATATAGACAGTAAAGTTTGGTTTCCACCTCAGAAAGCTGCTATTCACACGACCTAACCAAAACGTCCGACTTGGATGTGGGAGGAGTCGGGCATCCAGCCGGGGCTCCTACAGACTCCATCCAGATGTTTACCGGCTTGTTTTGGGCTGTTCCAGGTGTGCGGGAGCGTTCCCAGGAGCAGTGTCTGAGGGAGAGCTGTGAGGCGGCGCTGCTGCTGTCCCTGCACCCCCGATCCTCCCTCAGCCTCGTGCTGCAGGTGCTGCACGACGACGGCTCCGTATCCTCCACCCCGGGGGGTTAGGGTTAGGGTTAGGGTTAGGGGGGGTGTCTGTGATAGGTCTGGTCCCAATCCGATATCTGGATCGGATCGGCCCGCAGGAGAAAATGCAGATCCAGAGTCTGATCCCACATTAGCATTAGCATTAGCATCTGCTAACCCACAGGTCTGTGTCCTAACCATTAAGTTGTTATCAGAGCATTAGCATTAGCATCTGTAACCCACAGGTCTGTGTCCTAAACATTAAGTTGTTATCAGAGCATTAGCATTAGCATCTGCTAACCCACAGGTCTGTGTCCTAAACATTAAGTTGTTATCAGAGTAAATCCCTGTTCAACATGAGTCTGACAACTAAGTAAGTAGATAAATAACTTTAGACTTTAACACATGCTCTGATAGGCCGGGATCAGATCGGTATCGGAAGAGAAAAAAGCTGGATCTGGACATCCCTAGTTTGATTATTACTTTAGATTATTACTGTTACGAAGGGGCTGAGCTGCAAAGTAAAAAGCGAATTGTTCAGACTTCCTTTAATCTTTAATGGTGGTTCTTAGCTCTCCAGATTTTCTGAAGCTCTTTCAGAGTGTTTCTGCTTTTTCTCTCCTATCATTTTGAGCCATTCAGGCAGACAAAAAGGCCCCTAACTCAAGGGCTGAGCCAGCCTTTTCCCCCAAAGCAGCCAGAGGTTCTTTTGTGACTCTGATCCAGGTTTTATGGGCTTTATCTGAGTTTTTTTTTAAACTTTTTAAACTTTTTTCTCTTTTTAGTCCATTTTTAATACTTGTTGGGTCAGAGAAAGGCCCCTAACTCAAGGGCTGAGCCAGCCTTGTGTCCAGCAGTTTAAAGTGGATCAGAATGATAAAGATTAGTTTAAAAAGTCTTCATCCACCTTTAACTCATTGGCTGCCAAAGAGACGTCTTTTATGTTTTTAAACGAGAGTGGCTGGGGGACGATCTGCTAAAGCTTGTCCGTAAATATCAGGCTTCTAGACAGAGTATGTAGTAACAAATTGACCCTCTAGGGGGCAGTGCCACTTTTGATGGGAGATGAGCATAGACTGTAGGCAAATAAGAAAAAGGTAACGGTTCTATGAGAGAACATGTCGCCGGTGAGACGCAAGTCCAGGAAGAACGGAATAAGGTAGAAACACATTTTTTTTCCTGATGAAAAAAGAGAGTCTACTCTTTCTTTTGGTGTGTTCGGTGTTTACATAGTCATAGCACAAACTATTCTGTGGCTCTTGAAAAATCAGTCAAAATGCTCAAAAAACTCTGGCAGTCAATGAGTTAATTTCTTCATTATCTGTATCGGATCAGGGACATCCCTAATCTTTGTGGGGGGGGGGCATGGCGATGGGTGGGTCCTCTTCCTTATCCGGCGTCCAGCTACTGTCCTGCCTGCTGAACGCCGCCTGCATGGCGCTGATGGACGCCGGGCTGCCCATGAGTCGGCTCTTCTGCGGGGTCAGCTGCGCCATCGGGGCCGACGGCCGGATCCTGACCGACCCCACGGCCGCCCAGGAGAAGGTACCACGCCAAGTGCAA